GGTCATGACGCCGCACGACCGCCGCGGCTTTGCAGCATCGACAAGCATGAAAACTGCTGATCATACATGGCAGTTATTTACAGTACGGAAGCCATTTCAACTCCACAAACACCCGGCGTCCGACCGCATCGCTTTTATCGCGTTGTTTGCAGGAAGCACGCGGAGACGTGCGGCCTCAAAACAAAAAGCCTTTCTATGACCGTGCTGCTGTGTTATGTGCAAAGCCCAAACCACATTTGAAACTTCCTCTAATGGTTTATTGACTGACGAAAGACCTTTAAAAAAAAAATGGCTCACGGAACACAGACATCCTGTTTCTCAAGGCAAGGAATCAAAGATTTGTTTTTCACATTTTTATTCTTTCTGTGGAAGCTAATGCAAAGGTTGAATGACATCATTGTCGTTTTCTGCAAAAGGGGAAGTTGGATTTTTGTGGAAAAAAAAAAAAAAAGTTATTCCATTTCAAAGGGCTTTTGAAATCCCTGCTGCACTTTCATGTCACGTCTCTTCCTCATCAAAGGCAGTTTGAGTGAAACCACTAATACGTTCCCACTCGTCTGACGAAATGGGCCACCGAGTCAGTAAATAGACAAAAACGATCACAAACAACAACGAAAGGGAAGTGCAACTTCTCCCACCCATTTTTTTCCCCCCTCACTGGCATTGCTTCTTCTCCCTCGCTTGAAAACAAACCCTGGATGTCATCCAGATGTCACCCCAGCTGCAGCGATCTGCTTCATGCGTGTGCTTCCAGCTTAGCTGATTTTTTTTTTTTTTTTTTTGGGTGGGCGTTTTATAGCACGCGCCCGTATTGTGAAGCATTCCTCTAATTCCAAAACTTGACCCACCCCTCCTCACAAAAAAAAAAAAAAAAAAAAAAAAAAAAAAAAAGGAGTGGAAATTAAGTCAAAAGACAGACTGGGTCGAGAGGAAAGTTTGCAGTGTGGTTGAGATTCGATTTCTTCTCAAACGCACCCCCACCCGCCCTTATGTGAGACCGACCCTTTCCACACTGCTTCTCTCCTTTCCCTCCGCGGTGCCACGTTGCCCCAGCCAAGCCGCGTCGGCATCCCGAAGGCCTCGTAAAAGGCGCCGTTTCGCTCCCAGATTGTGCGTTGGACTTGCGCAGAGACAACAAAAACGAGGGGGGAATAAATCAAGCGAGTATTTTTAATTGCAGTTTAATTTGTTGCTTCTATTTGTGATCCAAAACATGGGAAGAGGACCTTGAAAATAATCCGATATTAAATCAGCCACAGACAGACAGATGTGGGTCACTGCCCCACTTGGCCCCGTGATATGAGAAAAAAAAAAGAAAAAAAAAAGGCATCCGACAGCAATAATGAATGCTTTAATGCTGACTATTTCGATCCCAGTCAGTTTGACGTTTTCACCTTTTGAGACTCAAATTTGAAAATACGGACAACTTATCCATCCATCCATTTTCTTTTTATGTCTTTTCCAGTTCCGGGCTCGCGGGAAGATGATCCCTTGTCCTAGCCGACTTCAGGGGAAAGGGGGACCACACCCTGGAATGGTCACCAGCCAATCACAAGGCATACGGGAACTGAACCCATCATATTATTCATTCATTCATATTCACAAAGAACAGCCCGCTCATTTATGACGTTTCCTTGGCAAACTCGGGGCCGAGGTCACTTTGGGACAAGCAAACACATTTATGGATGTTAGTTGATGTCACAACCGAATCAGCACTTTGTATGTAATGTACAGGCCAGCAAGACACAGACGCTACCCATCCATCCCTGATGGGAGCTTGAGAAGTATAACGCAAAGCGGAATGGGCAAAAGTGGCCAAAGATTGGCGTGCTAAGCTTGTGGCATTCGATTTAAAAAGACTTTGGCCGCCAAATCCACCAAAGCATTAAGCAAGGGTCGACAAAACTTCTTTTTAAAATTGGGTATTGTTATGAGACAAACTGGTAAAAAGAAAATTCAGGATGCACTGCGTAAACATGTATTGCATAGATGGCAACGCAGTAGAGCAGAACCTTCAAACCTCCGTCATGCGGGCTAACATGATGCAACGACATCCTCCTTCCAGTCCACAAAGAGGAACTTGTACATTTCACCGTCGTTACATTTTTCACAATTTAAAACACCAAAAGGCTGAAGGTTAAGCTGCATCAGAGCTTAAATTTACAATTGCCAAGTTAGGATCCATGAAAGGTACAATGCACCCCAACCCTGCCCCGCTTCAGATATTCAGTGAAAACACTCGCAGAATTTTTTGGGGGGATTGTTCTGTAGCTCCCGTAATTGCAACAAGATGGCACCAAAGCCTCGTCTCAGAAAAAAGTAGTAATTGGTGTCAACAAAGTATGGGGAAGTGATACATCCTGTCTATTCTAAACCCATCTATGTGAGGGAGGAGCCATGTTTAGCCTGGGTTGTTAACAGATTTTAAGGAGAGTTATTCTGCATGTTTTTTTTTTTTTTTAACAAATTAAATCCTCTGTAATTCTAATTTTAAATTCAACATTGTAAAAGGAGTATGAAATTATGTCTAAATTTTGGGATAATATTTTGTGATATTTTGGGTCAAAATAAGCAATTTTTTCATGATGTTTAGTTTGATGTTTTTTTTTTCCACATCCCAGTTTGTCATGTTCGTCCCCAGTTTCTTAATTTAATATGATGCTCTAAAAGTGATGTTTACATGTACAACAAACACAATTTGAAAGGTTATTTTTGAACATGAATCATTCGTAAATTAGTCGGTCATGACTTGGTGAGATGGTTAGGCAGTATAAATAAATACGGGATAAAAAAATGTTGGGGGTTTTGAGGCAAACTACGTTTGCAAGAAATCTTGCTGAAATGTAACTTTTTTTTTTCTTGCTTGGTTGAGCCCAGTTTTTGCAGTGTAGGGGGGGTCTGTGGTGGTCTGGAAGCGGGTGTTGCGGAAGGGTGCTGCTGTACGAACACAGAAATCAGTATGCAAAGCGAGTCGTGGCCTTGAGCAGCACACCACCACAACAACGCTAAACAGATGAATGATTTGGATGCGAGTGGCGCGGCGTGTGAAGCAGACGACAACAACAACAACAACAATAACAACACAAGCGTGTCGGGGCATGTGTGGGCGGCGCACTCACCCACGTCGGCGTTGCAGAATGCCTGTTGCGGGTGTACCGGGGCGCAGCTGCACGCCTGGGCGAGCTCCTCCGCCCGCCACACGAGCAGGAACGCCAGCGTGCACAGGACCCCGTTCAGGCTCAGCGGCATTGTTGACGCAGAAACGGCGACGCGAGTTTTCTCCTTTTTTTTTGCAGTGTTGGCAGTGCAGATGCCAACGAGAAGCGACTCTCGTTTTTTTTTTCCTCGTATAAGTAGCACAGATTTTTTTTTCTTTGTTTTTTTATCAAGGAGCGAGTCACGACGTCAACAAGAAGAGCGTTTGACGTAAGCCGCGAAGATGAAGTCGGATTTTGTGTCTCATTCGAGGGCAAGCGCGCTCCGAAGTGTCGTTCAAAGACCCTTGTTTTCGTCTGGTGCTCGAGTCTTTTATAGAAACTGCTCGCTGGCCACGCCCCCTCATGAGTACGGCAAGTGGGAAGAACCGAAAAGGTTCCAATCTCCTCAGCGGGAGTTGGGGGAAATAATACTAAACAACTGTAATAATGTGGTAGCAAAAGTGTTCCACCGCACTCTTTACCAAATAAAAACACACGCGTGCACCAGCACGGCAATGAATATCAAATATCGAAGGTGCTTTAATCCAACGCAAACTGAGGATTGTGGTATCATTTCTTTGAAACAGCTTCAATTGAATCCAGTCAGTTATGTCCTCCATTTAGCTAGCACTCCGATATTTCTGAAAGCAGCGGTGTCGTTTGGCCATCTTGAACCCTGTATAGAAGTCCATTTGTGTTTTGGGAACACCCAGGGAGCCTTGTTGTCGAGACGTTGTCCAAGGCAAGTACCGGTAAACGTTAAGACAAAAAAAGAAGAGCCATGACTTTTTTTTTTTGTTCAGTTCTCACCTGGCAAAGCCAGAAAAAGAAAATTCCTGAGAAGAAATTATTTGGTTTGTAATGACAGCGAAACGGAAATCAGCACAGCAGATTTAAAAAGCATTCGTCGAGACATCCCCACGTACACGGCGTAAGTTCCAGAAAAGAAGCACCTCTTTAAACATGTGAGTAACCATTGAGGAAAGGAGTAGTGTGAGTGTGCAGTGAGTCCCGCGGGCGGAGTTCTCAGAGGCCTTTGTTGAAGTAGACGCGCTGCACGCCGTCGCCGTACTTGGACGTGATGGCGTCGCGGAGTTCGGGCTCCAGCTTTGACACGGCAATGGAGCTGCGACACAAAGACGAAGACGAAGGACGTGGTCAGAGGTCGGCAAACGATCAACAAGAATGTTTTGGGGTTTTTTTTGCAGATGGTTGAGGCAGCAATGATAAAATTTAATTAAAATGGTATTTTAAAAAAAGTAACAACATAAATAAAGTAACATTTGAAAAAGGGAAAATACAGTATTTCAAGTAAAAAAAAAAATTATTGCATTATTTTGCAGCCTGTTAAGGCCGCAAACGAATTGGACTTTAATTACCGGTACTTGTTTTAATTGAGAGCATGTTTTATTAAATTGTATTCAAGGTCGAGGCAGCCACCAAGTTCAGCCCACATAATTATTTTAATTAACTGACCAAATGTAATAATAATCGCATTTAAAAAGTTGATAAAATATCCAAACATATATTTGAAGAAAAATATACATGTGTATAAATTAAATGCAAATATTTGAAAATTGTTGAACCTACTAATTTTTTACTTGTGCCCTCTGTTGGCTGCTGCCAAGTACTGAATTCTTTGTAATGAGCACAAAATTAATTTTACAAGATAAATGCGTGAAAACTAATTCCAGTATATTTAAATAAAATACATCACGATAAAATCAAAAGTGCTTTTTTTTTTTGTATTGCAGCTCATAAAATTTATTTTACTACTATTTGAGTTGCTTAAGCCATCATTCACCCTCATTATGACAATCAATATTTATTCTCCAACATAATTTGTTTTCCACTAAATCAGAGCACATAAGTGGATTTTTTTTAATTGGGCACTCACAAAAATGCAGGCACTATTCTTCACGGACAAACATCAACTACTTGGGGAATATTAATCCTTTCATGCGCCCTGTAGCCTGATAGCATGATAAGCTGTCCCTGAAAGGGTTAAGAACTGAAAAGTACCTTATATCCAAAAAAATAATAATAAATCAGACTTGAGTTACCATCTTTGAGGGAACAGGGAGCAGGCTGCCGGCACCATGAAGGTCAAACTGTTCAGAGACAAGCGCAACAAAAGTGAGTCGACCCCACTGTGAGACTTGTATCACAAAAACTCCTTCCCCCCTTTTCCTCCGGCCAGATGTTCTACTTACAAGACGCCCACCATCATCACTTGAATGGGCCCGTGGAGGTATGTGATTCTCTGCAAAAGAGACGAAAAGAAGTCATTGTGGGGTCCACGCTCAGTCAAGAATTGAGGGGGTGGGGGGAACGAACCTGCATGAATTTGTATTTTTCTAGCCGTTGCATGATGATGGGGAGGATGACTGTGGAGGAGAGCGCAAATGAAGGGGTAGGCAGACGACAAAATAAAGAGCTGTTTGTAAGACTGGGTTGTTTTTTTTCATATACGTACTCATTCCCGGCGCGGCCATGGTGATCCTGGAGATGACCACTTGCGTGATGCCTTTCACCGCCGCTTTCTGGACAGGGGAAAAAAAAAAGAATGAGATGTGAAGCGAATGTATTTGCTTTCACTATTCGTACAAATAGCTCACCTGCGAGTGGCCCAGCTTGTTGCCGTTTTCATCGGTGACGGCGATGCCGTTCAAGATTTCCCTGAGGACACATTTTAGACACATTTTCAAACTGAAGAAAATAGAAGCATATAAATTCGTATCTCAATTTGTAACTCATTGGACGATTAATCTTGTGTCTGAGGGACTCACTGTTGCCTCATCATGGGGATGTTGACACAGTTGGCCGCCGCCACGGCCGCGAAAGGGACCCATCGCGCCACCAGTGGAGGTGCTCTCTGTGGGAGGGCGGGGGGGGCCAGAGAGTGTGATGGGGAGAGAGACTTCATATTCAAGAGCACTTGACGTAACTCGGCATCCGTGGCAACCGTACCTTCGTGTAGAGGTTGAGTCCCACCGCCGTGGCTAAAGCCGTGCTGGTGGCGGTCGCGTAGGCGACGCCGATCTGCCTGAGGCGCGCAAAAGGTGATGTCATTTGAAGGGCGGACCCGAAAAAGGCTTTGAGGGTCTTACTTGGGGGTGATGGGCGAGGCGGCGTTGCGGTTGGTGTAGTTGACCAGCGCGTTGAAGGACTGATTGACCCACTGCCAGAAGACCACCGCGGGCACAGTCCTGGAAAGACGCAGGCCAGAAATGATCTAGTGAAATGAACTCGGTCAATTGGGTGTAAGCAAAGTGCCACGTCATCTGATTAACGCAATGCTTTTTTTCTCCCGTCAGTCAAGATAAACCTCCCCGCCTTGCACAATAAAAATCAACAGAACGCTGCAGGCGAACACGTCCGCGATAACGTTTGCACAACTGCACCTGTAGAACTGCAGCATGCAGCCGGTGATGGCCATGCCACCGGGGACCTGGAAGGACATGCGGCCGATGATGTTCATTCGGTCACCCGAGTCAGGGTGGAAGGCCGAGTCGTACAGCTTCTTGGCGTAATGGAGTTGCTCCTCAGTGGTGCCCGGTGGGACCGAACGCGCCCTGGAGCAAAGAACATGCAATCGAATGTGTCGTCATGTCATGTAGAAATACAAACATTTGATTTGTGGGGGGGCACGCTGTATTTCGCCAAGGTCTCCTTACCTGCAGCTCTCCACCAAAGCTTTGGCCTCATCCAGGCGCGAGTCGGGCAGAAGCGCCGTCCGCCAGTCGGTGATGTTGAAGAAGTGCTTGAGGCGCCCCATGAAGGTGGTCTGGTCCCATCGCGGGGCGTCGATGTCGAACGTGGGGCTCAGTGCCATGGCGGAGGATTCCCGAGTCGCAGGGGAGGGCTGACGTTTGTCCTCCGAAAAGGTTCGGATGAAGACCTGAGCAAGGGAGCGCAATTACATTTCTGCCAATAGGGGACGCCGAGATGAAATGCGCCCTTTGGCACCAGTAGTTAACCCAAATCCCGAAACAAGTCCCCCGCTAGAAATAATTGACAGGTATCGAGTGAATAGTTCCTTGGGTTGTCTCGCTGCAGCAGCGTTCCAATAACCGACCAGAACCGCGAGAAGGTAGAGTCCAAACGAAACAAAACCTCGTAATTATTCACAGGAGGAGTTAGTTATTCACAGATGTTGGTAAATTGTTGCTTTTAAGAGACTTTGCTCAACGCCAGCCTGGCTTGATCTAGATGGCTCTGGGTCTGTTTACTTTAAAATGTGGGCTTGCAAAAGTCAAAAGTCAACATTTTTCGTAACACTTTCTGAGCTTTACCAGCAACTGATAGGCCCCTGAAGGACATTAACATCCATGGAAGTAGGTCATTAGAAAAAGAAGACGTGGTTTTTAAAAAATGAAGTTTTTCTTTTTTGTAACGTTCAAGTTTCCAGATGTTTAGCTCCTCACATGCCTGCTGGGTTAGTAAACAAACGCAACCATCACGACGCTAAACGACTGCAGCAACTTCAGACAGCATTTCAATACCGACTAATACATTATCGTACACTTATAGCAATTAAAAAAAAGCACCTCTGTGCAACTGGTGCTTGACAAACTGGATCTACAAGCTGCAGCGTATCTGCATGTAGTCCACGCTGTGCCGAGAGGGTCTAGATGTTTAAAATGAATTTAATTGCATTAAAACATCACCGACGATGTGATTAAATTGCATTTGGGAGTTAGGAGAAAGTTGGGTTGGGAAGTTATGTTAGAAAGAGGAGAGAAAACCTATGCCCGATAGACTGATGCAACTTGTGTGGTCATGTTACTGGCGCTCGTCCCGCGGCGACGAAGGAAACCACGCATAAAAAACACGTTTTTGTGCTCATGAATGCACGTAAAGATGCAAAACTCACCTCTGTGATCCGCCGGTTGTGAGCAAAAAGCTGACAGGTTCGGTCAAGAAAATGTTGCACGTGGCAAGCTCTCCGCCAATAGCGAGGCGGGGCAGCTCCCCAACGACACTATAACCCGCCGGGTCCCAAAGCCCGTAAAAAAATACAGTATACGACCTAAATACTAAGTAAATATGTAGTCATATTACAAAAGATTGAGTCACAAAACATTAGGAAAATGTATCGGAATAAATGCATTCTGAACCACTCGATTGTGCGCTAGAGACAATTACATTCATAATTCAATATGTATCTAAATTCTACGGCTAAATGAAGCGACGAGTCTCGAGTGCGAGTGAGGCTTGTGATTGGTGGAGAACCCGGAAGCGAGTCAATGTGGAACGAGTTAGTATTCGAGTCCGGTTTAAATAGTTGTTTTTGTCGTTTACGAGACCGGCAATGACCTTTCGAACAATCGAAATGAACCTTATACAAATCAGCCGTACCCCTATGTCTTGTTATAAACGCTACTGTGTGTTTTTTTGCAAGATAAGATAAATTTAGACAGGACATTGTGGGTGCGTGCGTGCGCTTACTTGGCGGTTGTCAGGAAAATTCGGCTCATTTACGCCATCCGTGGCGTGGCGTGGAATAGCAGCCACCAGCGAGTGGGGTGGGTCCTAAAGCCCGCAAAGTGAAGATCAATCGGTGCTCGAGTTTACTCTAGCTCACTGACTCTTCTCGGTCCAGCTACACTATTCACGCCCAAGTCGTCGTAGAAATAAAACGAATTAATTTATGAGAGTAAATGCCAGTAAAATACAAATCGTTGTTGGTGCAAACAGATTTAGACTCACTGTCGCCACCTGTGGAATAGAGTGAGAACAACTGATTGAATTCTGACGTGCAGTCGTTTATTTCATTGCTCACCATTTTTAGGTAGGGCCTCTTAGTGCATTTAAGCGTGGAGATAATATTATTAAAGTGCTTTCTAAGCACTTTTCCGGCTTATTTAGTCACCCACTGGCGCGCGTGCCTGTGTGAGTGACGTCATAGTCCTTGGTAACCCTCCGCCGCGGCGTCTCCACGACACAAGACAACAAGATGGTGAGTGCCCGTAATTTGCACGAAATGACCGTTAACTGTCTGTAAACGGGTAGAAATGTACTCGTTTGGACACAGGGGGGAGTGCAAAGTTGTTAACGTTGTTCGCCGCGGCAATCCAAACGTGAAAGCCTCTTGTTGCGTTTGCTTCGGTTGCCAAGAGATTAGCTTCGCAAATTAGCCCCGTTTAGCATCTCCCGTGCTGTCGTTATCCGGGCCCGGCGAAAACACATCAGGACACTATTCCAGATCTTATTTGGACCAAGATCGATTAGATTGTATACTGAATACACGTTTGGAAGACGGCAGCAGTGTGCGGTAGTGTTTTGCACATCTGCCCCACAATTCTGAGGTTTGGGGTTCGAATCTCGGCTCCGGCCTTCCTGTGTGCACCATGAAAAATGAAAAACTACAGTTTCTTTGGTATTTCTTGCATACAAATTAAGTCTGATTAAGTCCACTCAGTACAGAAACTGCAAAAAAAAAAAAAAAAACATGGTGTTCTTTAGATGTTGCAGACGAAGAAAAGGTTAATTACAGGCTCTAAATTGTCCACAAGCGTCAATGCTGAGATTGTGCACTCATGAAGAAGACTATCTATAAAAAAGGGATGGTCTGATGTTTGGAAGATGTAGAACAATGGCAGCGATCACCACCGTGCTATGACATGTTATTTTATGTCATTTGTGCGTGTGCGCAGGGATTGCTGTCAATCCTGCGCAAACTGAAGAGCACACCGGACCAGGAGGTGAGGATACTGCTGCTGGGGCTGGACAACGGCGGAAAGACCACCCTGCTCAAGCAGCTGGCCTCCGAGGACATCAGCCACATCACTCCCACACAGGTCAGCACTCACCCGTAACCACCGTGGCGGGGAAATGATCCGATTTCTCAACGCTTGACGAGCACGAGATATCTCTGCAAACCCCCCATAAAACAATAATGACTAAGAGTCACAAATGCTCTCCTTCTTCAGGGCTTCAACATCAAAAGCGTACAGTCGCAAGGCTTTAAGCTCAACGTGTGGGACATCGGCGGCCAGAGGAAGATCAGGCCCTACTGGAGGAACTACTTTGAAAACACTGACGTGCTCGTAAGTTTGTAACGTAATCGACAGGTCGTGGAGCTGCTCCGTCACGGTGGTAACTCGTTGTTTCCTGGTTTTCAGATTTACGTCATTGACAGCGCTGACAGGAAGAGATTTGAGGAGACGGGGCAGGTATGGCACCCTGTCAAATGTTATTAGCGACTTGTGTGACGTTATTCGCTGTTGAGCAACATGCTACATGTTTTAACATGTTTGGTTTCCGGTACAGTATCAATTTGGCAGCCATTTTGAGAATCCTTGTAATGCCAACTGACTAACATGTTCTTGGGTTTTTTTTTTTGCGTCATCTTTTCAGGAGCTGGCCGAGCTGCTGGACGAGGAGAAGCTGAGCGGCGTGCCCGTGCTGATCTTTGCCAACAAGCAGGACCTCCTGACGGCAGCGCCGGCATCCGAGATCGCTGAAGGACTCAACCTTCACACCATCCGCGACCGCATCTGGCAAATCCAGTCATGCTCCGCCCTCACCGGCGAGGGCATCCAGGTCTGGCATCATTTTTTTTTTTGTTTGTTTTCTGCACCAATCACACCAAGCTTTGAATCATACTGTTATTTCTTCTTTTTTTAAAAATTCTGTTCTTTTCCGTTTTGTAAATCTCATCTGCAGGATGGCATGAACTGGGTGTGCAAGAGCGTCAACTCCAAGAAGAAGTAGCTTGGCTTTTCAGTCATCTTCTCCTCAGGAGGGGAGGGACGTGCGACGACACCTCCTGAGCCTTAAAACACTCCGGGGTACACTTGTGAATGTACACGCACGCACACTACTAATCCAAAATGGAGGTTTTGACATAACTGCTGCATTCCTTCCCCATCGTTCCACTTTGACCACGAGCGTTCCCGTCGAACTGCTGTCTTTCAAAAGGAACTCCCGCCTGATTATAGGCTCAAAGTGTGTCATGATTAATCGTTCCACACACACACTTTCATGGCTCTGTTTGACGTGCGGTCTTCTATTTTTGTGTTTTATTTATGGCAGGCAGGAGTGAAGTAGAGTGTACCCCAAACCCACTAAAGAATGATACTGTACATGTTATGTATAAAAAGAAGCGTGCAGGATTAGGAGTTTTTAAATCCACTGTAAATAGCGTGGGACCTCGCCCCCATTGCCCCCCCCCACCCTTCTCCACAGCGTTGGTATGTTTTATGCACATGACTCTGCTTTTTTTGTAGTCCCCGTAGCACTTCTGCGACACTTTTTCGGGTTAGATTGCTTTTGATATTCCCGAATGTGATCTGTGCAGAAGTGAAAGTACTGTATGTGAATAAAAGAAGAAGGAAATAAGGGGAGATGGAAAAAAAAGGTGTGTTTGTTTTACTTGCGTGAATGGAAGCGGCTTCAAGTGGAGCAGGTGTGCTGGGCAGCTGTCGGTGGCGGCGGAGAGGTCTCTCCGGCGTGCGTGTGTGTGTGTGTGTGTGTGGGAGACAGCTCGGATGAACTCAACTGGACAAAAAGACTCAAATGGATCATCGGAGAATTTCTCGTGGTGCGCAATCCGGGTCATATACCATGAAAGCAAAGACGAATCCTGCTGTTGCAAAAAGATTATCGGCGGCCTCAAGGGCTCGTCCTCAAACACAAGAGATCCATTTTGACTCATCTAGCAATTTTCATCCACGTTTAATATTTTAATTTTCTAAATTAGCTCCGATGACAAAAGTAGATTGTGCCATTAAATTATTTACATCCACATTTTAACCATTTTGGCACTTGAGAACACATTTGCTCACCAAATATTTCATCCCATTCTTTGCGGTTATCTCGTTTTTCTGTCAACTAATGATCCAACACAATACCCGCCTTCACCCCCAATTTGACTAACTGCCTCCTCTAATGTATTACTTATACGTGGGCGACCATATCTTCTTTCCGTTGCGTCGGACAGCTGCACGACAGCTGTGTGTACTTGTGTGGGAGAATGTTAAGGGAGGGGAGTGTTTTATACTGTGTGTGTGTGTATAAATACTGTAGGAAGGCAGACGAACCATTAAAAAAAAAAAAAAAAAAAAAAATGAATAAAGCGGTACTGTCAAGGATTCCGGGAGGGAGGGGCACGTAGGTGGGAGTGGGGTGAGGTCGGAAATGAGTGATGTCATAATGCTGACAAACAGAACGGAAGACGGTCAAGTTTTAAATTCCTTTCTTTATTTGGAATTCTCCAAATCACGTCGTGTCATTTTTCCATTTCACAAAATATTTACAAAAAAAGATACTTTCAAGTTGGACTGTCCGTTCTCTTAGTCGAGTGTCCTTAATGGCTTCTATTGTAAGAAGGATGACCGGTCCATTCTCGTTCTTTTAGAAAAAGTAGATCATCGTACACTCTTTTTGTTTTTTTTTTTCTTTAAAACTGCATACATTGTCTCTTCTGAGTGCTTAAAAAAATGTCTTCCTTTGCGTGCTTACAGCTGCAAAGAGGAAGCCAAGAGCTAACGCGCACGTGTGTGTGTGTGTGAGTGTGTGTGCTTATTGAAAGGAAGTGACATCGTCGCCCTGAAGGAAGTACATGAAAAAGCGTCACGGATCCTCTTCTAGTCAACGCCTGATTCGTTTGGTCTGTCCTGCCACTCTGAGGTCTCAAATTTCCGTCAATATCGGGTGGGTGGGGTAAAGTGTCCTCCAAGTGCATTGTGGGTGTGCGGTGGAAGAGCCTGTGAAGCAGTAACAAGTGCCATGGGGGGAGGGAAAAAAAAGTATTTTGTCACGACGTAAGGCAACGGACCTCTGTGGACGCTAAATTGGGGACACGTTCTTTTTTTTTTTTTGTGGGGGTGCAGAGGTGTGGGGGGGGGGGCACCCTTGAAAAGTTTGTTTCCATCTCTCACTCCATAAATAAAAATACAACTTGCGTTCATCCACCTCCCTCAGAGTCTCTTAAAATGACTGCTCGGATGTTTCTATACTTTTTAAAGGTTGTTTTCTTTTAGTTAAATGTACATTTTACAACACTGACCGAAAAGAACGTCAAAATAAAAAGCGATTGACCCTGCCCCCGAATGTGTATACATTGTATTCTAGAGGTGTGTGTGTGTGTGTGTGTGGCTGTGTGTGTAGTTTAAATGTGTGTAGTTTAAATGTGTGTAGGCTATAACGGCTTTAAAGCAGTAATCCCCTGCACATTTGCAGTTCACAATTAAGGAATTTACATATTCACAATTTTTATTTTTTTTAGCTCTTGCTGAACAAGATGATGCATTGGTGTTAGTCGCGGAAAGAATTCGTTTGAATTACAGTTTTCACTTTTCCATGAAGTATTTTAAAATACTTCATGTAAAAGGAGGCCTAATTTTTTGTTTTTATATTTGACATGACTGAGATTGTTTGATAACTGTTGTAATATCCGTTTGGTAGTAATTTATAGTTGAAACTATTAATATCGGCAATTAGGAGGGAATCAATTACTCACAAATAGCAGGGGATTACACATTTTACACTGTCTGTGTGTGTGTGTGTGTGTGTGTGTGTGTGTGTGTGTGTGTGTGTTAACTGGTGACGTAGTGCTTTGTGGAGGGCTGACCGTACAGCCCGTAGAAGTCGGCGTGTCTGTGCGACTGTGAGGCATCGATCCAGTTGCCCATCGACAGGCCCTGCATGGACGGTCCGCCGGAGGCAAGGCCGGGCGGCGGGGGGTAGTCCTGCGCGCTGACCCAGGGAAAGGAGCCCGAGCGCGGGTAAGGTGGGTGGGCGCGGTGGCCCGACACGGACGGGACGCCGGAGCAGTAGCAGTTATCCATGGTGCACACCAGGATCTTGCGCCCGCCGTACTGGGGCAGCACGCTCTGCTGGGAGGAGTGCGAGGAACCACCGGTGCCGCCGCCTCCGCCGCCGCCGGAGGGGAAGTGCGAGGAGCCGAAGACGGCGCCTGAATGGTGGTTAGCGCCGTCCGCAATGTGCGGCGGGCCGCAAGGCTGATTAGCCGACTGACCTTCTCCGGAGGTCGAGGAGGAGCCCAGGTAGGGCTGCTTGCTCGAGGAAGAAGATGAGGAGGAGGAAGAGGAGGCGTCTTTGAAACTTGCTGCGCTGTTTTTGCCCGAGTTTCCTTCCGGGAAGGCGGCGGAATGTTTCCGTTTCTCCGCTCCCGAGGCCGAGCTCTGGCCGCTGGGGAAGGCGGGGACGGACTGCAGGAAGGTGGAGGGAGGGGTGAGAGGAGCTGTGGGGAGACACGAGAACACGTTAACACAAAACTCTTGAGAAAGGACATTTTGATCATTTCCTTGGAGGAGGCGAGCGACCAAAACTAGAATCAGACTTTATACCTTCCAGCGTTCTCTTCAAGCTCTTCTCCCGCTTGGAAATCTCAGAGAGGAAGAGCTTGGCGTTCAGATTGCCCACCTTGTAGGGGGGCAGAGTGCTTCCCACGCACGCCTGAGACCTAAGGAACATGCCAGATGAGACTCCGGGGACAAGCGATGAGACGGCGTGGCAAATGAGAATGACAACCCGCGTACCTGTCGGCGAGGATCTTGACGGGCTTGGTGTTCTTCATGAAGCCCAGCTCCTCCGCCTTGCCGAACGCCGTGTTGATGGCGCTCAGCAGCTTGTGCGCCTCGTGCCTCTGCTCGCCCAGCGCCAGAACCTGGGCGGCGTTCTCTTGGCAGAAGCGCGCCTGCGCCCGCTCCAGCGCTTCGAGCGTGCGGCCCAGGTCCTCCTCCAGGAGTTGGTGCATGCGCTGGTACTGCAGGCGCACGTCCTCCTTCAGTTCCAGCACGCGGTCCTTGTGGAGGAGGAGGAAGGGAGACCGGCGTCAACACAAAATGGAGGATCAAGTGTGCAAAGCGCTTCTTCAAAATTCTACCTCCAAGCATTTTTTTTTTTGCATCCAAGCATGTCGTGTTTATTAAAATAAAAGTTTCCTTTGTGTCAAAGTAACGTTTAGGATTTTTAGCGTTGCAGATTTTTTTTTTTTAAAAAGCGCTATTGGGAAAGTGCATTGTCTCCATGTGCCAACGCACCTCCACCACGCACTTGTCCGAATCCAGCTTGCATAGCTGCTCCTCGATCTCCTGCACGCGGTCCTCCACGCGCTCCTGCTGCCTGAGTAGGCTTTGCTGCAAGGTGACAGAAAAGAGAAAACAGGGGGAAGAAGGTCTTTAAAAGACGGCAACATTTCCCCCCCGCCTCCCTCCTTAGTTAGTTAGTCCCCATCCGAGGCGCACAATCCCCACAGGAGGGGAGGACCATGCTGTCATGGCAACCAGCAGCTGTTTTGTGCTTGCATAAGTGTATGTGTGTGTGTGTGTGTGTGTTGGGGGTTTGAGTTGATAAATGAACCAACATAAGCAGGCAGGAAAAAAGCTCTCCGCCGCTCTCGCGGCCGGCTAAAAGCACGGCCGTGTTTTCATGACGATAGAAAGAATGCGAGGCTCCAATGATGGAATGCTTTTCATTTCAAGTCGTGTTTATTTTCGTTGTGCAAGGTGGTGATTATCATGAACAACTGCTGAGGGGAAGCGGTTGCCTTGCGCATGAACGTGACCCCGATGTGAGCTGTATGTGGATTTTCACCAGTTTGGGTTTTATTTCTGTTGGGAAAGGTGGAGGCTATCATGAATAACGGGCAAGAAAGGTCGAATGACATGTCTACGTTCGATGAACAGATAATGAACAGCGGGTCTATTTATTTTCACATTCTCTTTGAATGAATTCATGACATTTATGTACTGAATTCCAATATTCCAACAGACACGTGCTGGCTAAACAGAAACGAAAAAGCTACCGCGGTTGGCGTCGACTTGATCCAGATTCAAGTGAACAACCCCACCCCCCTTTTGCAGTCACATTAGCGCTCGCAGCTAAATGCTAATGTCAGCGCACAGACCTGGCTGTGTGTTCACCGAGCCCATCTTTTTTCCTTATTTCGCTAGCTCAGCGCGCGAAACGCTAGCATGCTCACAACAAGCCATTTCAGTACATGGGGGATCAGCGTCGCGAGAGTCCAACGTGGCTAACAAGGCACCCCTTTTAACGTTAGCCGCTAAGCAAACAGCGGATTTTATCATTGGTTCCACTGTCCTAGATAGCACTCTCTCTTTCGCTCTCATTCACTCACACAGTTGCCGTGTTACATGCAGGACTGTGACCTGGTTGTGCTGATTGATTGAGTCGGGCTGCAAGCAGAAAAAAAAACCTGTGAGGTCGGAAGAGAAGACGCTTAGCAGAAGGAGGTTGCAACTATGGATACATAGAGCAGGGGATGGGCGGGTGTGATCGGGCAGTAGGGGTCAAGGGGGTGGGGGGTTAGAGGGCCCCTCTTTAGCTGTCATTTCAGCACAGAGTCTTTTCCATCAGGACCGGGGGGCCACGGGGGAGGTCTGGCTGCCCCTGTTGGTGCAGGGAGATGATTTGGAAGAGCGGGGGGGCTAATGGAAGTGCAGGGGGAGGGGGGGGGCGTAGCGAGGAGGTGAAATCACATTAAAGATGGCCGATGCAGCTCGAATCAACGGTTATTCATCTTAAAGGCCTGGCTGGCAAAATAAGAGCCATGGTGGATTTGGTGAATATGTAAATCTATGTTAAATAGAGGCTCATATTTATGGACATGAATGCAAAACGCTAATGCAGTGTAAATATGCAGGCCTAAATAATTCAGGGGGTTCTAATTAGCGACCATCCAGACCATTAATAATGTAGAGAAAAAGATGGCAAAGGTTGTTTTTTTCCCTTTTTTTTTTTCGACAAAGATGGCAAAGGTTGTTTTTTTTCCCTTTTTTTTCCGGGGGCATGGCTTTAGAGTTCATATGGGCAACCACGCCCCCGACTATAACCCCGTCACCCCTCCTGCTGACTCACAGCGACAGGAAAGACAAGGCAACGTGACAGGGTCGAAGCCGAAAGCCGGTGTCATGAGTCAGTCGACCCTTCACGTTTCCCCCCTATGACTAATCCCACCCCCGCAACACAAGCCTTTGAAAAAGAAGCATGTGTGTAAAGTGAGGGTTCGAAACAGCAGGAAACCGAGATGTCATTTAAAAATAAAAAAAGCCACACAATCAAGTGACGAATCACTCTAATCCCTCGCTGGTGATACCCGAACGAGGATGCACCTGCGCCGGGGAGATAAGCCCACCGCTCCTTCCTTCGCAACGAGGGACCCTCATTGTCCCCTCCACCCGCAGCCCCGCACCCTCCGCCGCTGCATTGTGTGGCATTCCAACAGATGAGAAGGACAACTGCAGCAAGCTGGATGCATATTCCGGCCTTTGAGTAAATAAAATGGGACCCTTTCAAGGCCCCAGTTTAAATAAGGTTGTTGTTGCTTGGCGACTGCACAAAATGTAAAGCGATCGCTTTTGTGCCCGTGTGTGTGTGCGATGCAGCCACGAACGCACTTATTGATCACAGATAAACTAGACAGAATTCCCTCAAAATGTCAGACATCCGCTTCCATGGCTAACGTACATGCAAGTCAATAGAAGACAACAACTAACCCACGAACGCACTGGTGGGGGAAAAACTACACCCGTGTAATCCAATTTCGGCGTTAGCTTGACTTTGTGCCATAGCTTCATGTTTCTGATCAAAATAATCTATCAAGCACGAATTTTAATTTATAATCTTCGAATGGATCAATGTAGTGCATCATTTCACAAAATTACCCTGCAAAACAAAGAGCAACCAAAGTGCATGCACTCCTTCGTAACCTCTGCCGCTAACAACCCAGGCTAAACTTAGCTCCTCCCCGACATACAAAGCTTGCCTCGCAGTTAAGATGTATCGCTTCCCTTGTACTTGCTGAACACCAACAAACTACATTCCCTTTGGACGGCACATTAGCACTATCTTGTAGCGTCAATAGGTTGTTTTAAAAAACAGCACTAAAAACGCAACATGGTATTGCCAACAGTGTATTCTCTTCTACTCTATGTGTTACCATGTCAATCTAAACCTCGCCAGGACCTGTGATGAGCGTGTGAATGCCTTACTCGGATGTCATTGCGGCGCAGCTCCACGTCAGCGACAGCGTGCCCGTGGCTGGGGTGGCAGCGGGCGAAGCAACAGTACTGGCACACGGCCGTCTGCTCGGCCTCGCAGTGGTACAGCCGGTACTCGTCGTGCTGCGGGCACGTCCACGCCTTGACCGCCTCGGCCTCCACCAACAGGTGCCCGAGCGCCGAGCATGGCTGCTGCAGGTGTGTCTGCACGTGTGACTGGCAGCAGGGCGCGTTGCAGCGCAGGCACACTTTGACGGCGGGCAGCGGAGGGCCGCGTCGGCACAGGATGCACTGGGGCGGCGGCACCGATGCCTTCTCCACGCTGAGAGCGTTGTACTTCTCCACGATGTTGGAAAGCTTGTGGTTTTTCTCAAGGCTGGGCTTCTGGCTGTATGCATGGTTGCACTCAGGGCAGCGAGCCAGCGTGGAGTCCTTGGCCCAGGCCTCGCTGATGCACGCCCGACAGAAATTGTGCTTGCAGGGCAGCTGGATGGGCTCAGAGAAGACGTGCAGACAGATGGGACAGATGAGCTCCTCCTCAAAGCAGTTCTTCCATGTCTCGGCCATGTCGGATGCCATGGCGGCGGGGGCAGGCATACAAAACCCCCTCCGGATTTCGGTCTGTGTGTTCTCACAAGCGTCCCGCCCAACACCACCCTTCCCAGAAAAAAAAAAACGGACGCTGTCCTTAAAGTGTGCGCTTACCACTGCGCCGACACCCTGACTTGTTAGTTATTGCTGCGGCAAGTTCCGGAAAACTGACCAAATGAGAACACACACATACACAGTGAGGCTGACGTTACAAGATTACTGTAAACTGTGACACACACGTGGACGTGCGCACTCACACACACACAAACACAGGGCGTGTTTGTGTGTGGCCTGCAGGAAGAAGCAGCCTGTAGGTAAAACCTTGGAATCCAAACAAGGCACAGATAACTCAACCAGGATCAGCCCAATATGCAAATGAGTACAGCACCTCCTGCACGTGCACTCGCAGCTTTGCCTGGCGCTTGATTCATTAACCTGCTTCCACACCCTGATTAACACTCTACTTCTCTCTTTTTTTTTAACCTGACTCTGAACCTTTAACAGTCACTTTTTTTGCCCAAAAATCCCGAGCGGAGCAGCACAGCAGGTCTAGCTAAGCGCACAGCGGCCCCGCAAAAGATTCAGAATAATAACGCCTCAGTTTCGTTTTGACATGAAACGCCATTTCCATGAGATGAATAATAATCCACAGACTCGCACACATACAGACAAGGCCGCGGCTCTCTCTCTCTGGCACTTTCCACTCGATAACAAAAGGGCCTACTAATCTTATTAGATGGAGAAATCATAAATTCATAGCCGGACCGTCGCTTTGGATGCGGTTTTACTGCATAGTTGTCGCTTTTTAAGGGCTCCAATCGAAGCTACTGAACAAAAGAGCTTTTATTTAGCTTTAAGGATCTGCAGGAATGTTGCTTGCTTCGACACCCATCGATCGAATAAGCTCCTCTCCGCCACACAAAAAATACACTTATTATTCAGTTATTTATTCCTTAAATCTTACTTCGGCGTTCTGCTTATACGCCTGCTCTCGCCTCCACCGTCGATCAACAACATATTTAATCGACTTATCTCGACGAAAATCGTGGGGGGGAATAATGCGAAACGACTCACCTCACCATTTTGTAGTACAGGTACACATTTTAAACCGCACTTTCGTCACAAACGCGGCCCTTGCTTGAGAACAACATATACATAATTTAATTAAATATATATTTGTAACTATTCCAAGGTTAGAATATAAAAATATGAGGCTATTAAAAGGGGACGTCGCTCCGCCGTCCTTGTTATACGGGCTAGCTGCTGTCATCAGCCATCTTGATATTAAAAACACACACACTGGATATCCACGGTGAAAAAGGTTGGAGGTCGTTCCACCTAAGCTTTTCGCCTTTTTACGCGGTATTAACGACGAAACGGAACAGAAAACGGTCGTTTTTTGTAGCTCTTTAGTCACGCTCTTCTCCTCGGGTCCAAAAGTCGACAGTCCTGACGTGCTTGTTATTTAGTCACGGCCCATATTTGGTCAGAGAGTCCGGTGGAAGAGTCGCCTACTCCGGCTTTATAAAAATCCAGCTTGCTTTGGTGCTAGTGGGAAGACAAAAATATAGCATTTGGCGTCTTCTTCTTCTTCTTTAATGGCCTCCTTTCTTCTTGTGCCTCACTCTGCCCCAGCCAGGCTGTCGACAGAGGAGGAATGCGGGCGAACTGGATGCCTCCTTCGGTTAGCGTCAACGTAGGCGAACCGGCTACTTCCGGAATTTCAAAATTAAACACAATATAGAGTTCGGACCTTCAGCTGTCAAGATAGTCCCAAGTTACTTAAAATAACAAAATAGATAATAATACTAATAATAATAAACAAATAATGATAGTAATAATATATTTTTAATGTGCTTCTCCGGTGATTTGTGTGCTAGTCATTAGCCATGATGCTACACAGCCTAGCAGTTAGCATTACCAGATGTTCTATGGTTATCCTCACACTGACTCAAAACACACTAAATCCTTTTGGTGCTCCCTGATTGGAGGTTTCATGAGATTTACAGATTTCAAGTGTGATTTCTCTTCATTTTGAAGGCAAGCAGTTGTGCAACTGCGGTTCTTTCCAGATCGATGCATCTACCCCCACCTTCCTTTTTTCCTTCCTCCCCAGCTTCCACCTACGTCCGGATGGACCTTGAGGTCACCACGTGACGCACCACGCAACAGACGTGTTCACGTTTGTGCGTGTGTCTATACAGAAGGAAACTATAAGTTGCCTAATTGTGTTTCAAGGTCCCTTATCGGAGGCCCCATATTGTGTATTGTCTGCCACTGAATGCCTTTGTTTTGCTATGTTTATACATCTGTGAAGGTTCAGTCAGGGTGGTCTGCCTTAAAAAGCACCTCTGTAATCCTGCATGAAACCTTCTGGAAAACTTTTTTCTTTCATGACCACCTTAGATCAACAATTCCCGGCCAGTGCCGAGGACTTACAGCAAAAAGTACTTATACTCTGTTCTTAAATAGAAGTACAGACGCTTGTCTTAAAAAAAAAGTCTAATTTACTTCCTCAATGTTAAGTGAAACTAAAATAGTAGGGCGACAGAATATGAAATGTAGTTCTGTACAAATGTATAAAGTGTATTTTTACGGTCATGAAAATTAATTCAGAATTATTTCATGCTGCATCACTGTTAATCATTAAAAACCATCACCGAAACAGTCCCGGAATTTACTTGGTATCGAATCAATACTAAATCTTTCGGTATCGTACACTGCTTTATGAACGGCTTTCTTTGGATTGGATACAACTTTATTGTCAAATGTGCTTTACATTTGTATGTCGCTACTCCATATTTTGAGTTATTGTACTGTACTGTACATGATTTAACGAATCAAGCTTTGACGTTTCGTGAGTCGTACTAAATACAGCCTGCAGGAGGCGACGAAAGTCTTTTTCTGTGTAAGGTGAGCATCTTTGTTTTGGTCGAGTTCGTCTAGTTAATCCAATCTATAATTACTGTAATTATAATGGCTTAATGAATTAGGTCATTAAAAATATTTATAAACGTGTGGCCAAACGAAGTATGTGAACAATAGTGAATTCTTAGAAATAATTCGTGCCGTTTTGAAACTTTCTTACACTTTGTGTAAATATTATTCAATCCATGCAAGAAATGCCTCGTGGATGATATTTATAATAGAGTGACCACTTACAATAGTTGCACTAAATGTTCTACCCTATAGCTCAATGTGACGAATAACTTAACGGACGATACGTGGGATCACCGACCTCATCGCGGTTTAACGGGTAAGGCTTTTGATTTAATTTCACCAATATAGAAAGCCCCACGTAAGCAGGGCATCAAAAAATTGGATAAAACTCTTGATGTTCCTCCCCACGGAAATCTTTAGTAAAAGGCGAAAGATTTATGCGATCTGAAGAGAAACAAGAGTGTACTGCCTATTCATCTGAAGCAACAGGGAAGTCATCGTAAGCGGTACGACTTAAACTAGCGGTGTAACAACAACAAAAAAATTCTAAACTCACGCAAAACATCGAAACAAAGATAATAACTTTTGAATAAGAAAAATATGTCAAATATGTGGAAAAAAAGTATTAATAAACGAGTATAAATCCTTTTAAAAACAGTTCTTGTGTCGCAAAGCATGCTGGGATGTCAAAGGATTTTCGGGTTGGTGGCGTCATCATAGCTGTTAGCTCCTCCCCGCAATACCCTCACGCTCCATTCAATCGTTTAAAAACAGCAAATGTTAGGTGAGACTTGTGTGTGATTAATATATATTGTGAATGTTAGAAAACCCCCATGACAAATGAGTCATACGCAAATGAATCTGTCCTAAATATTCCCACTTATTATGTTGTTGTTATTATTGTTGTTATAGAATAAACCCTGTTTGGACCTACAAGCTTTTCAGAGCCCTTCAAATGTCTTTCAAAGTAATGCGATAGCTGTACGCTATAGCCTATTGATACAACTAAGAATACGTTTACCCATTCGGACATTCTTCCAAGTTATGTTTTTTGACGGGGTTCCTTTTGAGGGGGTTCCTTTTCACTCCTTTGATACAGACGCATGATTTTGCTGTTGTGCAGCTTCTCCCAGGTTTTCATTTCCAGAATGTAGTCGTGATTTGCGTAGAAAATCACCCGGTTCTTGTCATGCTTCTCGTAATAGTAGTTGGAGTACTTAGCGTAGTCTCTCGTCATGAAGCCGTACGCGTCCACCTGGTTAGAAAAAAAAAGAATTGGATGAGGAAAATATGATTGAGACATTTAATTATTGGGTCAAAAACGAAAACAAGAGCAACTGACTATATCACATGTGTGAAGAGCCAAGAAGACCGTAAAAGCACCGTTGGTTGGTCGGACTATTGCCCAGTAAGTTTTATTCAGGTTAGGAGATCTCAGGAACCTGCAAAGTGACAAATATATGCTTGCAGTAGGAACAGTATATTAATGAAACATAATTAATCAGTGAAGGTCGACCTGTTGCGCACATATCGCAGAAAGTCCTGGTGCAGGACGTAAAAACGACTCTCGCTGTACTTCCCCTTGTAATACGTCCGAGGCCTGAATGTGAAAGATTAAAAAAATCATACAATTGTAAAGTGACAATCTAAAATAAAATGTAACTTTCATATTGCTCTTAAAAATTCGCCCATAACTTAACACTTTATAGCACACTCATTGAAAACCAGGACTTGGAAATTCATTTTTTAATCCAACTGGAGTACATAACGCAGACTACACTTTTCTGACTCAATAATTACAATAATAATAAATCTTTAGGCTCCAATAGACACAACACATTCAGGCCAGGATATTCATCACCGTTTACTTTTGTACGGGCCAAACTCCACTCTCTGTCCTCTGAGGAGTCCTTGGAGCCACTGGAAGTCCCTCATGCCCTCTGGAATCATCACATATTTGATGCCCTGCACGAAAAATGTGCTGCATGAGTGACCGACTCCGATATAATCAATAAAAGGAGTTAAAGGTCAGCTTACCTCGTCGTGGGGGGCCGATTTGTAGCCATATTTCTTGAACAGATACAAAGACATGGTGATGGAGTGAGCCGTGTGGACGTAAACTGTTGTTTTGTTCCCCACGTCCTCCTCGTAACCCTGGACGACCGCGCCATTCATCCTGACACGCATCATTAGAGTTATTAGTGTTGTTATTTTTTTTTTGTCGACTTTTTCCAGCATACGCCATCAACACGCTGATGAAAAGTGGATGGTTGGAACTGGAGAATTTAACATGACCCTTCAGTCTAATATAAAAGGTTCAAATTTGGGAGGAATAAGAACAAATATTTAGGACGAGGATCCTTGAAAAGTACTACTTCAAATGTCAGACTTATTTGATCTTTTCAGACAGTAATTCTTTTGGAGATTTTTTGTTTTGGTGGGTCTTCTCTGAGTCTTGACAGATATGCAGAACAAATTTCATGTCACGAAGTGATACTGGCTCCAGGGGATGCTTTTTTTTTTTTAAATTCCTGAATAAATGACCCTAAAATGGCCACTGTGATCTTTTCACACAGGGCTTTTTGACCCTTTTTTTTCTTCTTTTTTTTTAAGACTACACGTGATAGACATGCGAACCAAATTTCATGTCATGAAGTGAAGCTGCATTCAGGGGTTGGGTTTTCCCAAATTTCTGGGTGCTTAAAAAAAGAAATTCAAAACGAACCCTAAAATGACCACTACAAAACAAAATGGCAGACTTTCGGACCTTTCCGGAAAGCTGCTCAAGACCTTTTTTTTTTTTTTGTTGTCCTTGTAACACGCCTGGCTGGAAGAGAATGTCACTTCTCCTGTCTGGTGGGCAGAACACTTTTGTCTGCTTCATCTGTGAACTTGCCCTTTGAAAACAAACAAAAATCCTCGCTGATACAAGATATTAGCCAATGCCGTATGTGTTTTTTTTT